TTCCGTGTAAATATTTATATTACCTAGACAGATGTTATTTCATGACAGTTCCAAAGATGCTGCTGTTGACATTTCAAATAACTGAGAACCTAAATAACAATAAACGTCAAGTAGTTGCAGATTTTATGAGAGTTATAGGGTCATAGGCTTCAGAATTGGCATGAACGCCAATCTGGGCTCCTGGACTAAAAAACTGAACAACTACTGCAACGACCCCATACCTACTGTACAACGAACGCCATTAGAACTAAAAGGCTGAACAGTTACAGTAACGACTCCATACCTGCCGTACCACGAACGCTGTTAGAACCAAAACCGATTCGCTTATATGTTTTATGGGTCTACTAAGAACTTGATATCCTGCATCGTGAAAAACTGCAGCGAAATCGATTCAAAAAGGAGTACAGCTTACATAACTAGCAAATTAGCGCCGGTAGTATCTTCAAGGTTCGAGTTTTCTCGAAGAAATTTCTCTGAACAAGAAATTATTCTGTTTTCGAAGTAGCGATACTCCTACAAAGGGCAAATTCATCTGATGACTTGTGTATGCAGTGGAGATAAATTATTATAGATAATTTTACAGATGTAACTAAACATGTAGATATTAGCAATGCTCTAACCTGGGACTGTTTTGGCTTAGTCCCTCCTTCCGATGGGAACTCTCTGAATTTCGGATATCACATGAACATTGGTTACAGTAAGGTCGAGAGGATAGCAATGAGCATGAAGACAAATGTGCTCTCTTCCTATTCCCACATTCTCTCTCTCTCCATCTAGGGTTGACACTTATGCAATCGGAACAGGGGTTCAAGCGGAGGGTGAGGATGGCAATTTGAAGAGGTTCAGAAAGATCTGTCGGCAAAGTGGTTTCCCTTGAATTAAGTTACCTTCAGCAGGAGGGAAGGGGGAGTGATAGGAGATAGGCAGATATGTAGACAGATGAAAGGAGTCAAAAAAATCTTAAAGGTAACCATTGTATTATACCAGGTAAGTTATTCTAAGTAGGACACTGCTATGGATGTCTCAATCCATGCTCCCAAACATTTGCACTTCCGCAAGATAATATATAATAAAACATAATTAGATGATTTATGGAAAAAAAACTACCGAAAGAGCAGCCTTTTCTCTTAAACAGTCTTCTATGACACCAGTAAAGTGACACTATTTTCGATGAACTTCAAAAATACCATTACTGAGTCTATTTGGGACCATCTAGACAGTGTCAGTGTGTCCAAGCAGCCCGTTCGATGTTTCCGACAACATGGAAGCTCATTCAAAGTGCATTAGACGACGAAATTGCTGACCGGCCCAACATCTTGAGATTCCCCTATCACCAGCAGCAAGTTTATCGAGAGCTTATCAGTTTTTATGAAGTTTGAGCTGCCTAACAAACTAGTCTGGGCAATGTTTTTCTTGAATAAATGATGGAGAGAATCGCACAAACCCATGACGATCTATTTGTTCGTCCACTACGAGTTGTTTGCACGTTCGTCATAAAAAACTGACCATACATTGAGCCAATCGGTACGCTTACGCGTGGTTCAGGAAGCTATTTAAGAGCGAAAAATCATCGTCAGAAGTGCAGATCCTTCTTTCGCCTCATACATCATTACCTCATAGAAATCTCCAATTCACATGCCTTCCTTCTGCGACTTTCCCTCTGCAACATACTCAATTTTGAGACAGTTCCCGATACTCAAAGGAGGGATGGACCCACTTTATGATAGGAATTCTTTGATCTGAAATTTAGGTGGCACTATTTGATTCTGAGTTGAGTGTTTCTGACCTCGGGCAAGCATCCGGTATCCGGGGGAAAGAGTTGATCTGGGTTCTAACTTTCTAACAATTTTGAATACAAGTACGAAAACTCTCCTACGTGGAGTATTCCTCCTTAAGTGATGTCCTTCTGAATGCTTTGTTGCAGGGTTTCTACACTTCTCTAAAACAAGATGAAAACTTTGATCGCAGTGGTGGTGCTAGTATCCAGTGCAGCTGAAGCGATCATTGGTCCAGGAATTCTCCCGGTAAGCTCTTTCTTGAACCTTTGAAGTTTTTCCTGTTCACAGTCTTGCTGCATTTTCTAGTTCTCTACAACAAAAAGTACTCTGTGAGTAAGAACAAACCAAGCCCAGGCTACTTGGTACCTCTACCTGAGTAAATTGACCAGTATAGCAACTGAATGAAAAATCCTTTCTCATCTATTGTTTTCTCAGAAGCAACGCTGGTGAACTACTTCTTTTCAGGGTGCTGTTTGTTGTTGTACGTGTATGGTACCGGTTCCAGTACCAGCACCAGTACCAGTACCTGTACGGGTGCCAGTGCCGGTTCCCATACGGACCCCTATAATGGTGCCGCGACCATTCCCATTTCCCATGATTGGTATGGGTGGCATGGGCGGCATCGCTGGCATGGCTGGCATGGGTGGCATGGCTGGCATGGGCGGCTTGGGTGGCATGTCTTCGTGTTGTTGTGAGTTGATTTTTCATTTGAGGGTTTATATAATAGAAATGAGCAAAATGGAAGGTTCGGACAAACTTCATGGACAGAACGTGCTCTGCTCTTGGGAAATCGTTTCTGTATTTCATCTATTTTGATCCATCAAATTTGCGCCTAAATGGGACGAACCTCCTTTTTATAGAGGATCCTGTAGAATCGTTTTGAAATAGGTTTCGATGATGGAGTGTTTTAAAAATGAGTTATCTTCCTCGAACAAATCATCCATGCTCTTTGATCATGGACCCCAACGAAAAAGATCCTGCTCAGGTCCTTGTCCACAAGGCATGATGGGAGTTGGACAACAACAGGTCTGCACTCTGGTATCTCCTATACAGCTCCAGTCTTCCACAACAACGGCTGCTCCCGTGGGTGTACCTGACATCATCAAAGGGCCTTGCGGTGAGTTACCATGATAGGTTCATATCACAAATTCAATCTGCCAAAATCTATTGACCTGTAACCGTTCCTTACTTATAAGTAATCTTCTATTACCTGAAGAAGTCTG